CACAGAAACCAGAAAGAGGCATGAGAAATGCTTTTTTTTTCTCTCTCTCTAGTTCTTTAAACACCATCCAGCTCCTCTGCACCTAGGGAAAGACTCAGAGCAATGTGGGCGGACAAAGTCTGGTTCCCTGGGACTGTGAGACTCCTTCACTGACAACCAGTTCATCTTCTGAGGGACGGCCGGTTGGACACAGTGTGGAGGAGCGCAGTGGAGCCTCGGGTCAATGCATTGTCAACTCTCTGGTCCACTTTCAACACCTTTTAACGCCGCTCTTGGAATTCAACCCTGTGTCGTGGAAGCTGCACCACTTCTTTGATACCTCGCCAATTGAGAGGGGCCCAGGTAATGGCTTAAAAAAAAAAAAAAAAGAAAAGGAAAGCAGCAATGTTCCAAAATCCAGAGTGAAAGCTGCTAAAGTAATGGTTTTAGAAGAACCAGCAAGTCTCTTCAGGGCTGCTAATCAGTGAGAGCCAGGACAAATCTGGAATGGCTTAGACTGGGGCCAGGAGCTGCACAGACCAGAGGGAAGAAGATGAAGACTAAGCAGATTTTTGCTTTAGACATTTGCACCCTCCCTGTGGCGATCTGGTGCATGATGACCTATGAGCCAAAAGATAAGCTGCATAGCTACTTATCTAGCAAGACGTATGAGGTTTAGCTATACCTTTTGGCCACCTAAATACATGGCCAAAAGGTGGATCGAACGCATCTCCACGAGTGAGACTATCATCTTAAAGTTGTTTTTTGTTGTTTTTTATTTTTATTTTTTTTTTATTTAATTCAAAAAGTGAAACTCCTAAATATGTGTATATAATTTAAACATTTAAGCCTGACCATTTTTTTATGGCTTTCAGATAATCTCAAAACCTAAAATCCAGTCTCTGAGAAAATTAGAGTATCGCTAAGATCCAAAAAATAGTTTATGAACAAACGTTATAGTTTGTCGTTGTGGCCAACCAAAATGTGGGGGAAGATTCTGGACCTGACCAGCTGTCTACAGCAGGCGGTCACTGACGCGCTTTACGTGAAGGTGAAGCCGTGAAAGGTCACTGCTGAAGAAGTTGGCTGTTTACTCACTGGGAAAGTTGAGTGGAAGAAAAATTGTGTGGTAGAAAGGAGGTGCACAAGCCACATGGATAACTGCTGTCATGAGAGGATTATTAAACGGAGCATACCCAAAAGCTTGGGGAGATTTACAAGCTGCTGACAGCAGCTACAGTCAGAGGTCCAAAAACCACAGCACACAGATTAATCCAGGACATAAGCTACAACTCTCACATTTCTTACATTAAGCATCTTTACTGGTCTAAGAATAAAACAGACTAGAAAGTTAATTTGTTCTCCAAAGTCCTCTTTCGAGACGAGAGAACGTTTCTGATTTCACTCGGAAATCAACTCAGGTTCCGGAGCCTGAGCATGGACTGGCAAAAAGCTCTGGAGATGCTGATTTCATTTTCCATCAGAGCTTGGCGCCTGCCCACACTGCAGAAGGTGCTGAAACCTCCTTTAATTGCCCTTGATTCGCTGTGCTTAAATGGTCAGTAAACTCGCCAGACCTAAACTCTAAAGCTAATCTGTGGAGTGCTGTCACGATGAAAATGAGAGACGCAACAGCGCAGAGGAGCTGAAGGTGCACTGAGTGCGTTTAAACGTACGACGCACGGCCATGTCGTTCACTGGAAATAACCATCGGAATTTACTGAAACGCTTGAACTCAATCACTCTGTGTAATAAATGTAATATGAGTTCACCTCTTTTAAAATTAATGACAAAAAAAATTGATTTTTAATGGTGGTCTAAATGATTGAAAAGCAACTGAAAACTGCAGCTTTGGTACTGAAAACATATCTTTTTTTAAATCTCATACCCATCAAAACAGAATCCAATGTTTTGTTGGGTTTGTTTTTTTTTCGCTGAGGTTAACAGCCATTACAATCTACAATAACTCTTTGAAGAATCGGAATTAGTATGAGTTATAACAGCATTTAATTCCCTTTGGGATCAATAAAAGTATTTTTATATTGTACTGTTTGAATACCTATACAAAAGCAGAAGTTTTTTTGTTTTTGTTTTTTCCCCGGTAGAATCAATCACGTTCTCTGGGAAGATTTTCCAAAATGCTTGTCTCCATCATTTTGCCGAAAGAAAAATATGAGTCACAGCTTGCCAATCTATTCTAGCTGAAAGTGTCAGATAGATAATTCCGACTTCAAACAGCCCTCGCTTAGCATGAGAAATGTTTAAATCTACAGCAGTCCAATTAGAAGAGACGGAACAAGTACAGCTTGATTGGCCTGCTTGCCAGGATTACGTGTGCTCTCTGTAAAGGCAACATGGCAGGATAAACTCGGTATGCAAAACGTAATGTGAATAAATGTAAGGCTTTGGATTCGGTTTGCAGCAAAGAGGGGGAAGAGAAGGACAGACCCAATTTGACCCTGGATCCGCGTTAAGCTACCGAGTCAGCAGCAGACGTGGGGTTTTACCACAGGTGCCGAAGATCCAGGATAAAAGGTTTTCTGCAACTGTCTCTTAGTCCCCGCTGACACTGACTTCCTAGAGACCTGCCCATCTGTCACCTCTCTTGGAGACGAGGGCCGCCCTTCACCGGCACAGAGAGAGCCCGCTTTTTCTCATCATCATCAGGGTGAACTCTTTTTCCCTAAAGGAGCCGGGGATTGCATCTGGTATCGCATAGTTACTCCAATAGCTATCGAAACATCTTCAGAAAAAACTGAGCAAACGTTTGATTTCCTTCAATTTAAGCCTGTTGTAGCAGAGATGACTTATCTCGAATTATACGAAGGCACTCCACAGCACTATTACTTTCTTCAATTTACTGCGATTGCCAGAGGAATTTTAGTGAGACCTAACCCTGAGGATGAAAGCCACATTGCTCCTCCCGACTCTGATATTTGACCATCAGTCAGATCCTCCTCTCCAACACCCCAGAGGGGGGAAGTGAGGTCCCTAGATAATTGAAACACACCAACTTGCGTGTCCTTGAGCATCCATTATGTTATGTCGTTGAGAACTCGACTTATTGTCTGCTTAGTCATGACATTTCACGCTTGTTTAAGGGTTACCTTCGGTTCATTTATGTGCTGGGTGTGAACGCATGACCTTCTAAATGACAAACAGATGCCAGAGGGCTTTTTTTAGAGGATTACGTCTGGAGAAAGTGAAACATCTTCATCTGAGGAACACCAGTCTCCAGGAGTCATTCCCTGATGCTGTGACCTCAGTTTGGGTACTGTCATCCACGAAGAAGAAAGTCGACCGAAGTCACTCTTGCGATGCTACAATAATTGGATGAATGACTTTATTCAGGTACTATTACCTTTTTAAACTACCGTTCATAAGGTTCATGGCAGTTCAGTACTGACTGGAGTCTAGTCAGTGTTGCAGTCTGGCTGGTTGTACCACCGCCTCCTCCCATGGCTCGTTCAGTGGCAACAGTAACTGATGCATGGGATTCTCCTTGACAAGTCTTGGTGGTTTTCTATTCCGCTCAGTAGAAATCTGCTTTCTTCAAATCGCTGTACTGAGGCCCATTGGTTCCTCATCCAGAGCAAATGCTCGCTGACACATTCAAGAAGATGAATCCTGCGCCAATTACCGTGGAAGGTCTTCTCACGCAGAGACCATGCTGACGTAAGCAGGGTTTTTATACGGGCGGATGTGACACTCCGGAGTCTTTCGCCTCCCTTTGGATGTGCCTGGAGTTAAATAGCATTTGCCATCTGGCTCCACAGGACGCTGTTACTAAGGAAGCAGCCATCAACATGGTATCTGGCCAAAATACATCCACTTCTACGTCTCTCTGCGACTCTCCCAGACTCTGTGTGACTCTGCAATCTGTTAATGACACTCTGTGACACTTCGGTGGCGTCTTCCCTCAGAGAACATCCAGCCCGAAGGCTCACAATGCCCAGGAACTGCTTATTGACCGCTGGGTGTCGTTTTGACGCCATAGAGCCAAAATCTGGACGGCTCATCGAAGAAGGACCGTTTAACTGTGAGTCGTCATTGATCCCAAAAATTGTAGTGGTTGACACATAAACTGAGTGCTGGAAATTTGTGCCATTAGATGTGATTTTCTGTTAGAAACATTTGTTATGCAGTAAGAAATGAAACACTGAAAAGGAGAGGCCTAATGGACATCACCTGTTAAGGTTATAGAGCATTTTATGTTGTAAAATTTCATAAGAAAAGCCATAGATAGATAGATAGATAGATAGATAGATAGATAGATAGATAGATAGATAGATAGATAGATAGATAGATAGATCTGGACTTCAGGTTTACATTCCTTTGACACAGCATTGCATTATTTCTGACAGATTATTGATTTTTATTTACTGAGGCAGATTTTAACAACAACAGCATCTATAACATGTCCATACTGTGTGTATGCGTGTGTGTTAGAGTCTGAGTATGTTTCTCTGTGTAAGTGGGATGGGTTCGATCAATATTTTTACAGGTGCTTATAGAAGCCTATTGCGGGAGCAGACATAGTTTAAGGAGCTCAAAAAAAAAAAAAAAAAAAAAGCTGTTCTACGCCCTCATTTCCAAAGAAATCTTTCCAAACTTTTACATTCGCAGCCCATCATCATCATTTTTAACACCTCTGCTGACACTTCACTTTACTACATCAGCTGTGCATCCTTAGCAAGACATTAACCAAGCAGATCAATAACACTCAAGGGCAACGAGCCCGGCTGTAAACACCGAGTTTAGCACCAGGACTCGTTTATGTCGCACATAGTTAAACACACAACAACAAGCATCTGTGTGCTCCATAAGCGATATTCTCCTGGGCTGCTGTGCCTCGGACCAACACACAGTATAAAAAGCACGACAGGAGCTCATCGTTTGGGAATAATTTAAATAATAATAATAATAATAATAAAGAACAGTTGGAGACTTACTTTAGCACGGCGCTGTCCCCCTGTCTCACGGTGATGTTGTCCTTCAGTGCAGAATCCCCGCTCCTGGCTGGAACTCCTGCAGGTACAAGGAGCAGCAATTTAAGTCCGAGGACGACCAGGAATTTCCCAGGTTCTGCCAGATAGCCACACATCCCCATGTTTGTTTGCTTCTTTCTTTTCCTCTTTCTTTCACTGCGCAACTTCCAGAAAATAATAATATATATATATTTTTTTAAAAAAAGGGAAAAAAGCCCAAACTTAACGCGGCCGTATATATTCCTTCGGCGTCCTTATCAGCCTCGGCTCCTGGCACGCAGATTTGCTGCCACTGTAGCGCCGGGGGAGATGCGTCCTGTCCGGTTCTCAGGCAGACCACCGCGCTTCTCGGAGAAATGCGCGCCGTCTCCTCTGCTCCCGACTGTAATCTCTGTGAAATGGATGCTGAGGCACAGATGCATCAGCCTGAGCTCCTGTACGTTTCCCTCCCCTCCCGCGGCGTCCTTTTCTCTCTGTCGTCGGGGTGAGACGGTGGGAAGCTGAGAGCATTCAGAGCAAGCGCCTGAATCCCCTCACTATCCTTTTTTAATTAAGTACACACATCTCTCTCTTTATGTCTCCCTCTCCCTCTCTCTCTTTCTCTCTATTTCTCTCTCTATTTCTCTCTCTATTTCTCTCTCCCTTGTGTCTTGGTCCTCTTGCACCATCAGGACCTGTGGACATACCTGCCAATTCATAGGGGGATTCCAAGTTGTGGTCCATGGAACACCAAGCGGTCCCTGTGTTCTGCATATGGGACACTTGAATAACTTGAAATGCGCCTGCTGCTCATAACCTCGGGCTATTTCCTATTATATTCCATGATGGTTGAATCATAGCTACACGCTAACCATCGAAGATTGGAAAGATTTCTAAATATGCACACCAGCATATTTAGCTGCTTTGTCAACTCTGGTTCTCTGGCCAAAGAAAATAATAGATTTGATATTGACCTGATGTTTTTATGCTTTTAAATCGCTGACAGATGATTAATTGTGTGTTTTAATATATGCATGTGTTAGATTGCTGCTGTAGGGGAAGTATGTGATCATAAAATGTAACCAAGCATTCTATCCTGAGCCAACAATCAAACCTGATCTGCTCTCAGTACTGTGAGCCAGCAGCCAAAGACGAACCACAACATGAGTTTAAGGTTTTCCTCTGTGGCCATTTTGTTGACATAGTGAACATAGACAATGTATTAGGATGCTTGTTGGAAACTTTAAACGTGGATGACTGATTGGTCTCGATTTTTTTTTTTTTTTAATTAATTGAAATAAAGTGTCCACAGAAATACTCCCAGTTTACTTTGGCTGCACCAGCTGAAACCAGAACTTAAACTTAATCTTTTTTTTTTTTTTCCATCTATGAAACATAGACATGAGATGTAGTCATGTAGTCATATTCAAATATGTCCAAGCTTCGAAAACATGACATTAGGTGTGTGGTCAGATGACATGCCTGGCTACTATCGATTGTAGCAACCTGCACCACCTGCTGGATGGGAGTTGGTTGGGTGAACAAACTCCTGCCTAATATCTGAAGGCTGTTAGCACGACGCTAGCGGATGTTTAGTGTTGACATGGAGCAGGAAGCTGAGGCCATTATTGTTTCTCCCTTGTAGCAACCTGCGCCACCCATAATGTCCTTTGGAAAGTCAGTTTTAAAAACTGAAGGCATTCCAGAAAAAAGACAGAACATGGAGGGGAACATGTCAAATGAGTTAGATTTATATAATTTCCAATTACTATACATGAAAAGCTCCTAAAAGACAGTCAGACAAGGCACCAAACAGAATCATTTTATGTCATTCTCAATCATCACTTGCAGCAATCTGGTAGGAAGAACCTTTAGATGCTGATCTGTGGAACAATTTTCCTCAGGTCAGCTGGAATGCCTCATATCTCACAATGATGGGGGAGCATGATGGAGGCGCACTGATCTGATTCTCTGCAGAGTGAAGGTTTTGGAGCACTTAACCAGCACAGACAGACATCAAATATGACTCAAAGAAAGAGAGAGAAAAAAAAAAAAAACAACAACAAAAAAAGCTCACACATTTTAGAAAACAAAACACATCAGTGGTTTATAGCATAGTCTGAGATGATCACTAACCCAGGAACTACCTGGGATGACCAGGAGGGGCTAAATCCAACTTCTGTAGCTTCTATAACAGGAAAAGGGAAAGGAAAGGGTGAGTGGACAAATCGCAGCACCAACACTTTCAGACGGATCCATATATCACTGGGACCGACTCCAAGTGGCAGCTACACGGTAATAAGTGCACATGGGCTTGACGAGCACCAGTTTAGCTGCGGATGGCGCAGTATCATCACGAGGGGAGTTTCTCAGTAGGTTACCGGCTGATGTAGAACGAACATATTAGGTGACATTTCACAATAAATGTATTTAGTTCGTATTAAAAATGAGAGCCTCTGGCTAAATTCTCTTCAGTGCAATTGCAGTCTGTTTCAAGTTAAAGGCGAGACAAAAAAAAAAAAAAAAAGGTTAAGGACATCTTCTAGCAAGGGTAGAGGAAGGCACAACGTTCCTGCTCCATCTCTAAACCGTTCCCTTTTAATGACCTCGACCTACAGAGTTTGCAGCTCGTAATGATGTTCTGTCTGACTGGACGTAGCATTGTAATAATACAGTTGAATACTGCACAGAAAAATCGATTGAAATTAAATCACATTTTCCTCCTTGTTGGTTGCGTTTTTTTTTTTTTTTTTTTTTTTTTTTTCCCGTTATCAGAACCTTATTTTTCTCACCAATCTTTGTGATTCTTGTCACTAGGATCTACAGTGCAGTGAAACAAGTTTGTTTTTTTCTTCTTACATATTTCCTCTGTTTTTACTTTTTTTTTTCTCACATACACAAAATGTTTCACATCAAGAAACACAATTACTCAAAAACAGCCTGAGTAAATACAACATACACTAAACAAAAGACAATTTCATCTATTAAGAGAAAATGAAACCAAAATCACTCCAAGAGCAAAACAACAACTCATCCAGAAGATCACAAAGGTCCTAAAACTCATTAAGCACACTTAGTTTATGATTAAAGTACAAGCAAACAAGAGGAAAAACACCTGTGGATCAACCACATGTATAATTTCTTTTTATATCAGACCCACTGACTCTGATCATTTCATTTTTTAAGGTTGAGATCACAAGATATTTTAAATGCATTCCTCAAAGCTTCCATCTCTTAACACTTTAAATTTAAAAAGTGCATCAACGTTGATGTTTTTGATTGATTCACTTGCAGACTAAACATGGTGGGATTCTTGCCCTTCAATTCTTAAAATGCATAGAGGAAAAAAAAAAAAAAAAAAAGTCAGGCTACCTGCAGTTGCAGAGTCTCGGCCACAAACAAACGATTCCGATCACTGACTGAACAACTGATGCATAGTTGTAATCCACATTTAGTTATTAAATACTACATTCAAACCGTTCTTAGTTAAATTGTGACGGCGATTTCCTGCATTGTGCTGCTCTCCCCCTGGGATGCAATAAAAGCTTTCAAAAGAAGCGTATTGGTCAGACCTCAAATTTCAGACACCTACATCTCATTCAATGCATATGGGCTTATATAAATTATTTTTGAATGTAATAAAAACGCCACTGAAATGAAAGGAACGGCAGGGCGAGCGTGTTCAGTATCATTCATGCACAGGGCAATTCAAGGCGCGAAAGTGGTTTAAGAAAAGAGCACACACTTCAAATAGAAAAACTAAACCATCACCGAACACATGAAATGATCACATGAAAGACAGAAAAAATACAGCTTAAGAGGTTTCACCACGCCCTTAAAGCAATCGTTGGCCTTCTTCATGTGTAAGCTCTGGTTGTTTTCAGGGCTGATTTAAAAGAGACAACGGTTCCTGTACATCTCAGGTTTTCAGGTCCCAGAGCTGAGCAGCATACAAATTGACTGCTATCTTCGCTGAGTCGCTTCCCCGATGTCAAGTCTCATTCTAGCCGGTTAATGTCTTGTTCAGGTTCAAGCCGAGTGGGAGTGTCTCCATTGGCAGCGTGTTCTTCACTCTAGTCAGTCTGAATACAGGCAGGAACGTTGGAACGTGAGCAGGCCGACAGTGCAGCGGCGAACCTCAAAGTTCTGATGGACTCGGATAAACCCAGATGTTTCTCTTTGAATTTTGAAAGACAAACAACCAAAAGTGTCAAGAAGTTAAAATAAAAGCCTGAAATGATTATGTTACACCTTGACCTCCATCTGTCTGATGTCCTTGACTGTGTCTCAAATAAACCCAATGTATTTCATTTTGTGTTATAGAAATTCAACGCCCAAACATAATGAAAACATTTCAGATTATCTTTGCCCAAGGCCATTCAGTACCTTATAGATTATAAAAAAAATAAAATAAAAAAAAGATTGAAAATATATCATTGCGCAAGCAGGGAGCCAGTGAAGTGATTTAACTACTTGTGTGATAGGATTTTCTTGACGGCACAATGTGGATTCTTTGTTCGGTTTGTTGATGTTTAAACTGCATGAAAATAACATTTATTCACCCGTTATCCAACACGCCTGTCCCATGTGGGGTCGCGAGGAGTTAAGGTGCCTATCTCCGGCGGTCAGTGGGCGAGAGGCGGGTTACGCCCTGGACAGTTCGCCAGCTCATCGCAGTGGAAATGAAATTCAACCGAATATAGATCTGGAAGATGACTCATCGCTGTACCCCCGTAGGTAATGAGCCAATGAATGCCTGATTTCACTCTGAAATTTCTTCACTGTGATGAAGAAATTTTAAATTTAAAAAAATTCAAACACAATTTCAAAAATTCATTTTTGATCCCAAATTGTAATTTCATGGGCAGGAAAGAACTCCTGTCGTGGTCTGTATTTTTATTCAATTTGTAATCAAACTATACCACTCTCTTTTGCAAAAACAATGTGTACATTCAAGATTACTAAAATATATATATATATATTTTTTTATTTCCCTTCTTATCCGTCTATGTTTTAAATGTTTGTGGAGAGCAGAGTGAAACTGAACACAAAACCTGGTGGACAAAGCTGATTTGGATGCTGAAAAGAAGGTGAGGTTTTATTGCATTTTGGGCTTAGAATAAGACTCAATCCTCTTGGTAGTAGATATCAAACACACTGCTACCAGAGGTGAAGAAGAAGGAAAAAAAAAAATATAGTTTACTACTAGGTTGTGAACAAGTAACTTCTCTCCCAGCAGAGAATCAAGGATGTGTGGCATCGATTTCAACAACTTTCATGTGCTGGCAGCGTCCAGTTTGCAGCTGTGCCCTGGAGGTAAATGCATGTGTCGGACTAACACTCGGTATCGACAGAAAGTCAATCTTAAGAGACTCGAATTTGTTTCAAAGGGATTGGGGCTTTTTTGAGCCGTCTTGACAGGACATATTTGCACTGCATTTTAGTTTGGTTGTCCGATAAAACACCCGACTTTAAAACACCGTTTTGTTTTGGTCCACAACAAATTCTGCAGAGTTAAGTCAAAACTATGCCGAGTCTGTGTGGTCCCTATCAGAATTGGTGTTAATTTAACTCTTTTCAGAGTTATTTCAACAAGAAATTAAGTCATTTTAACACTTGAAAAAGTTAGAACTACTCAAACTATTTTTGAAATAACTCTCTGAGAGTTAAATTAACACCAATTCTGATAAGGACTCGGCATAGTGTTGATTTAACTCTGACCTTGGGTCAGTTCATGCAAGGTGAACTGACCTCGGGTGGAGTTTCCAATCCATAAAGGAATGCTGAGCAGCCTATTACATTCCATTTCACCCTTTGAGTTAATGGTTTAAGTCATTCTTTCTCAGATGACACACATTTTATTAGTAATTGACCTCTGCTTAGCAAACTCTACTGTGATGTATTTAATTAAGCATTGCATAACTGTCTCACAGACTTTGAAGAAAAGGCAGCAGCTCCCACATTGCATTCTGAGTAAAACATGCCAACAGTTCAGTTTGGAGTAAATTTCCAACCTTGTTGGTCAGCTGCAGGTCTTTTGTAAAAAAAAAAAGCCAGTTCTCGCATAATTAGTTTGGAGTGTGATTCACCACTTTCGTCGAGGAGAAGAGGCTGCTTTAAAAGGAAAGTGTTAAAGTTAATCAGACTCCGAATTTCTCTCAGACTAATTCGCGGGAGCGTTGTTGCGTTGTTTACTAATGCTCCCGCTCTTTCCTCCTTCCATCTTCCGATCTGTATGCATGGAAGGGCTGCCGGCCACGAGGGACGCCGGGGAGGCACAGTGCCGCGTGTGGAGCAGCAGCTCTCATGATTACGATGACGGCCTTTGTTGGGTCTCACGAGAAGCACGAGCAAGTTCATTTCTTTACCTTAACGTCAGTTTGCCAGACTGTTAGGATATTGGATAGGCATGGAGAGAAACGACAGCGCTCTGACGGCACCGGATGCCTTCATGGGAGAGAGACACAAGTAACGCACTGTGTTGTTCTCGTCTGGTGTCAAGTGTTTGTGGAAGTGTGAAGACACGGACGGGCTTGTATTTGTGTATTTGCAAGCTGCGGACTATCTTCTGTTGATCGGGCTCCTTCCACTTACCATTTATTTTACATAAGAGGCATTTCTGTATATAAAGACAATGTGCAGCACCACACAAGACAACCCCAAACAAAAAAAAAGAAGAAAACATGCTATCTGAATAAAAGGGCTTTTGAGACAGTTTATTGATCGATTGTGTGGATCCACCCTAACATTTTCAGCTCAGCAGAAGCAGTGGTTAAGGTACCGAGACACATACTCTGCACTTTCCACGTCAGCTGTTTTCTTTTCACTTCGACATTTCAAGGTTTTACGCACAATGCCTCGGTGTCACAATGATAGAAGTCCTTAGCTAACATAAAAATAAAAAAAAAAATTCCCTGAAATGCATAAGTCAGAGCTGGTTGAATGACCGGCCTGCCTAAACCCATTCATCAAGCCTGTTGTTCGGTTTATTTAAAAGTTATTGTGTAATTATGATGATGTTTTGTGCGAGAGAAAATGGTCAAAGATAAGACTTAATTAAAATGATATCTGGGTGGGATGCAGCCCAAGTCCTGACGATGCCCACATCTTAATGGTTTTTAAATTAAACCCCTTCCTGACCTCAGCAAAATCCTGATAAGTGGTCTTAATTAGAGTCAATGGGTGGAAGGAGGAGGTGAGCCGAGGTTCCCGTTTGCAAACCTCCCCTCTGTCACGGAAAATACGATCTGATGACGTTTTTACGACACCGCGTAAAGGCCATTGCCTGAGCTGATAGAATCGTCTGGTCTTTTTTTTTTTTTTTTTTCTTATTCAAACTTGTCTCAATGTCGGCTGGTGCTATTCTTTTGACAATTGTACTAATAAAAGTGTGACTGTTTTGTCAAAGTGTGAAAAACGCACACAGAATAGTCTACATCATACCCCACTAATAAAGTGGAAATCCACCAAGGGTACTCTTGTCTTCCCACTTTGCCACAGTAACCCGCCCCCCCCCCATTCCCATAGGACTGCCAGAGATAGGCACCACATGATCCTGCAAGTATGTTCAGGTAAAGCTCTGGTTCCCAACCCTGGTCCTCAGGCTCTACTGTCCTGAATGTTGTACATGTGCCTTTGTTCCAGCACAGCTGATTCATTTCAGGTAGATGTGTGGCATGGCAGACAGCGGTTCCCTTGGACCAGGCTGGGAACCAGCCTGTTGAAAGATTTCCAGTTGCAAAATGCAAAAAGAAAATCATGTGGTTGAAACCAAAGGAGCAAAATAAAATTGGCAAGCGGCTTATCTGCCAACAGCCAGCCCACTGCAGGCAGAAAGATGGGTAGCCTTAATATCAGCTGGTTGTACTCTGGTATCAAAGAGCAAAATGTCAAAAAGTAACATTTCTTCCCACAAATACGCGAAGACTGCAACATAAACGTGTCCAACTTAGCTTAAGTGCATTTTTTTTTTGCATACAGGAATCAAGCTAACAGATAAACTGAACGGAAAACACGGCAACACACCATGCCACCGAAACAACCGAAGTAAAACGTACAAATAATGAGAAACAAATACTGTTGAAACATGTTTGCCTTCAATAACAAACCTTAAGCACTAAAAAGAGTCTTATTTTGTGTTAAATCTTATTTCTTTATTTCTCAGGTTCCAATTAGTGTCTTAATAATTCAATGGGTTACCAAACAAATAGATCCTTTAACGTTATGAAGTATCTGACAGTATGATTAGTGTAATGAAATTTTCAAATTCCACAGACAATGGCCCATGCTTAAGGTGAATTTTATATTTTTCCTCCCAAAATGTCTTCCGTCAGTCATCTCCAAGTATTTTTGTTAGGAAAAAGTGGCATAAATGTTTCATATGAAAACTGTAAAAATAATAATAATAATAAAAACGTTAATATTCAAATATGACCCTAAAGTTCTCACTTTCAGTGTAACAACAAACAGCAGCTGGGGAAGAAAGTAAATAAATGACAGGAGAACCTGAGCTTGTTCCTCTCCGTGAAAACGTTCTCTGACCAGAAAAAATTGGCTCAGCACATGTTCACTTTGGAGCTCCCAATTAGTCATCATGGGCAGATCAAACTTACCAACAGAACAGCCTTCCTGCTTCATAAACAAAGCACTTTGCTGTTGCAGGTCATAGTTATTGATGAACAGTGCTTTGCTGCAGTCAGGTCTATATCAGACTGCTGCTAGTCTGAGGGAGAGCTGACCTTCAGCTGAGTGGGTCACAGACAGACAGGCTCTGTTTTGCTTCTCTTTTGTTCACGTGAAGATTCACTTGCATAACATTTTGATCTTTCGAGAATTGCCATATCAAATGCACAACCAACTTCTCTGTCTGATTCCATGCTTTTTCTGTGTCAAAATCTATAATTTAATCTGCATTTGGTGCCTGATTTGACTTGTTCAGTCCTCTTGTGAAGGGAATTCACACTGTAAAAGCTGCTGTATGTACCTTTGATTAAAAACATACGTATTCTAGGTATTTCTTAAAATGTAATTATGGAGTGATGGTATGAGATGAGCCAGGTAATCTGTGAAAAGATCAAGCTGCTCTGCCTTTTCTCTCTGGTCCTGATGTCATCTGCTCTGATTGGTTGTCGGAAACAACCAATCGGAGCCAGAAGGAGGGTCTTTGCGCCGTCAATATTGCTTGTGTATGTGATGCAGCTGTGCTATTCGCAGAAAAAGCAACTTGCAGTTGCACGAAAACCGTTTATCTGAAGTCATCGGTAGCAATGTTATCTAGCCTGTGCTGTAACATAGCAAAGATCAAGTGGCA